GGTGGCAGCTGAAGCTCCTCTGTCTATTTTTGGACACAGGAAGTAGTGTGATGTGTCAAGAGGAAATGATATGATTAGGAAAAACAGGGATGTTTGTCTATTAGGCATGCTGCACAGGAAATCTGTCCACCGCTCAGATTTACAGATGAGCAGAGTCGAACAACAGATATAAAAAAAAAACAGACCTGAAACGACAGTTTGTGTGAAGATACACACACCTTTATGACAAAATGTCTGTTTGATACTGAGGTAAACAGGAATTATAGAGGCGACAGTGGACAGCCCTCGCACATTAAGGGTTTCCTTCCCTGAAATCAATTATTTATCCCTTTATGTGTCTTTATTTAGCATTGTTATTATCTCTATGAACCACATTACCAGCCGAGGATCGTATGTGTAATTGAAAACTGCACCCTATTGTTCAGAGTCCTCTGGCTTTTATGCTCTAAACCAAACATCCACCCGATTAGCTCATGCAATTAAACAGAAGAAAGTTTTTGGCGGCTTTGGCCAGATGCTCAATGTGTTTCCCCTAATCGCAGCAGTCAGTCTTGAGCCTTTTCCAAACCTGTTAGTGGGTTTTTTTTTACGGCCACCGCTGACCCCTTCCACCCCATCTCCCTTATCAGCGCCGAGCACACATGGAGGAGTGTGGTTTCTGGGAGGACGCAAAGGTCCTTTCTCAATGTAACGCCTTGATGGCTTTTATCTACAGAACAGTGTCCCAAACCTCCAGTCTGGCTTTGGAGTAGAATACATATTATTGCCTGCCGGCGCAGCGGGTATCTCCACGACCACGTCCTAGCCCATTATGGCATCGCCTGGCGTTCAGCTCAGGAGGAAAACGCCAGGGATGTGTGAGGCTGAAATTAGAAAGCTGGAAGACATAATAAAAAACGCTTCCATCCTTGAACAGAAATAGCAACTGACTAACTCTGCCTTTTGTCTACATCTGAGGGAGGAGATGGTGGCTTAATCAGATCATCTGCCGGGGTTGCAGCGTCTCTTTAACCACCCGGAGAGGAGAATCACACCTGACAGGCTTTTCGCTCCCTCGTGGATTGTTTTGACAGACTTTGACAAGATAACGGTCAACAGGATGGGTGTCCCTTTTCTGCCATTTCCAGTAATATCTCACCACTACTGCAGTGCAACTCTTTAACAGACTGCCGAACCCTTCTGCGCTCATTTCATAATCCTTATTAATTGCAATTTATGTCTTCAAGGTGACCTTTACCCCTTTAAAGCAGCAGAGGGTTGAATTAAAGGCCTACAAACCCCAAGGGTCAAATGATGTAGATTTAGAGGTCAGGCAAAGCTTGATCCTTCAGTTGTGCTGTTGTTTGATGCCCTCTCTGCACACACTGCCAACATTTCCACATGATCACATTAGTCATGCTCCCTGCTCACATTTCAGCTAGACATTTGAGCAGCCCCTGGTTGCAACAGCATGATTCACAGTCCAACAAATGGAAAGAAATGCCAAGCAGATGTCCATATGTGTGCGTCCAAAGTGCCCCTTGACAGATCAGGCTATTGTAGAGCCAGCGTCCTTGAGCACAATGTAGGCTGTTTGATGGAGGGAGCACATCTGCTCCAAAGCCAAACGAAACGCTGACAGGCTCACTCTTTTCACTTCCTAGCGACAGGAAGGATGAGATACAGCAGGAACAAAGTAGTTAGTGGCGCTTTTGTGTGCGCAAATGGAGGAGAAGGAGCTCGCCAAGTGCTGCAAACCGACAGAGGAGAAAGAAACAAACTCACCTCTTTGCATTCACGCCGGCCCCTCTGTTGCTCGCTCTCCCCTCTTTGCGTCTCTTGGGAGGCTCTTCCGCACGCACGCCGACCCCGGCGGGCGGTTTCTTCGCAAACTTTGCCGCAACATCGCGTCCGAGCTCCGGGTGCGACGGAGAAGAGTTGCTTTCCTGCTCCTCCTCCTCGTCCACAACTTCTTTCAACAGCGGATCGTCCGCGGCGTTGCCCCCCAAAAAGTACAAAAGTAAGAAAACTCCGAAACACACGGCGATCACAACTACTTTGCCGTGGATCCGCATGATGAGAGCGACTTGTTGCGGCTGGAACAGGCAGACGGGACTCCGCTCATGTCTGCGGGTGACGGAGAGCTGCCCCAGTTGACATTTTGTTAGCGCTCCCCGCTCGCATTTTCCTGCAGATGATGATGGAGAGCGGAGAGGAGCTCCTCATCGTCCATGGAGGATTACACAGCGGAGGCGTGGCTTTCTCCGGCAGTACCGTAATGACGGATGATGGCGGTACTACCGCGCTATGATACTGTAGTAACACTGTAAGAGTTGTAGTAAGAGAGGTATGGATGTATTGCTTATTTATGGTTTTATTTTCGGCACTGCTAATACACATTTACACAACTTACACTGTGTTGTTAATATTCCCCTACATTGGTCCCTACAAAGTCCCTACAATAAAATGATTCATAAAGAAATAATGACCTTAAGATCTTATTCATCTTTGAAGTTGACTACAGTCTTACAACAACTAGTGATTTGTTCATCATAATTATTACCAAACAATAAGGCAGTAAGTTCTCCATCATTTAAGTAAACATAGCAATGCCACATTATGAGATGGTGGGCCCATGAGCATGTATGACTTAATACACCACAATAGTTGCTACTCAGGTGACTACAGAGTTGCAGAGTTGTTGCTTGATATCTTTGTGCAGACATCAAACACTCACTTTGAAGGCATCATAATGGCACTTTAATGGGTCTTTTCAAAGGGAATGTTCAGGCTATTGCTTCAGCATTTCACAAGAAACCTTTTGCCCTTGTATATTTCCAATTAGGAATCTTAACAGCAACTTTGCCCAGAGGCTTTGATTTGGGACCCCTGACGCCTGTGTCTGATCTTGTCTGAAGTGTCTCAACTAAAAGTAATCATTAAGCAGCAGAATGGCCTGTGGCAGCATTATTGGAAATTTTACTGAGGCTTTACTGTGTAAGCAACATTTTAATGTTGTAGCTAGTGGAGGTGTAGCTCATTTTAACTATGTCCACTGTTGTAGTTTAATCTACAACAATGCTTAATATTTTACAAGCTCATATAAGCTTTCTTTGTAAATTATGAATCAATCAAATCAAAGTAGCAGCTATAGCCGTGCAGCTGTCAGATAAATGCAACAGAGAGAAAACTCTGCCTCTTAAATGTAGTGAAGTAAATGTATAAAGTAGAATCAAATGAAGTACTTGAAAATTGTATTTAAGTACAGTAATTGAGTAAATGTAAACTTCAGCAAGAAAACTAAACCAAAGATACTGAAGGCTAAAGTGACCCAAATCTGAGTTATTTGCTCATATGTGACTCAGATCTGATTTTTTCATGACATTTGATCTTTTTGATTCTGAAATCAGATTCAGGTACTGATTCTTTGCAATGTGACCTCAGTGTGAACAGTCATATCAGAACTCAGGTTATTTATGTTACTCTAGATTGATATTCATCGTATGGGTCTCACTTCAGGGCTGTGACCTGTTTACACTGGAATCTGAAATGGGTCACATTTAAAAAATAATGTGAACAGCCAAACAAAAACACAAAAAAAAACCTGAGCAATAAATCAGAGTTAAGTTAAGGCTTGCAGTGTGAGCGTAGCCTAAGAGTAATTTTAGGCTTTGTCCACCTGTCACCTCCTAAAGTATGAGACCCTTGACCTCTATTTGGGAACAATGTGTGTCACTTTAGCTCTAGTAAACTACATAAAAAAAACCTTACTGATATACTGACACATCCTGATGTATCTGGACTGTCAATAAATGCAGCTGCCTTGTGGAAGAAAAATGTGAATTCTGTCAGGACATTTTACTGCCAGTTTACACTTTGTATTACGGTACAACATGGACGCTACATCCATGAGCTGCCTGTGAAGCTCGTTGGGGTACCTCGGTGTTTTTCTGGTGAGTGTGTATGGTTCTTAACTGTGTCCTCAATGTGCTGTGTTTTAGTGACTGTCTCTGAAGTGAGTGAGACAGTCTTTTCCCACCGCATGCACTGGAATAAAAGTAGTGTCAAGTAGCGTTGTCTGCCAGCTAGCACTGCTGCTGCGCTGTGTTAGCCGAAACACGAGGAGACCAATCATGTGTTAGCTCACTGTACAGGCTAATAGCGAGCTAACCATAAAACGAAACTTAATTTGAAAAAGCTGCCAAGTCAGTGTGACATACAGTTTATCGACAAATACGGTCGCCTCATGGATAACTATTGAACATGTTTTGTTTTTTAGAATCCATAGTTTAATTCGGAATGCATGTAGATGAATAAAAAGTTAAAATATACACGAAATTTGGACCTTGGGAGTTTTTATGCACGTGAAGTCCCCAACTTCCTTCGCGGAAATAGCCATAAAGTAGTGTACGTTAACGTGACTAAATGTCTTTTAAAGATGCTTCTTGGTAGATGAGGGTAATGCCGGACATAATTATAGACCGTTGTGATTAGGAAAACGGGTTAAGCAGTGTTTTGAAACATAAATACGTCCGTCAATAAGGAAGACCTTTTTAAATGTCCAGATTTTCAAATGTAGTTTGGTATGAACATCTTCCTAAACAAGAGAGAACGGAATTATCTGGTTACAAACTAATGTTAAGCTAAAGTAAAGGCATCTTTTGTAAGTTGCCGCAGTAGGAAGCCAGTCGTTATGTTGTACACAAGCTTTGTTTACACCTCTCACTATCGGTGTGGCACACGTGGGCTGCTGCTGCTTGTGGAGACGCGAGCCACGAGTCAACCACAAGGTGGCATGCTACAGTCAGCCGGGCCGCCATTCATTCAGCTGAATGAATGGGATGCAATCCTACACACTGTAACCTAAGATGATTCCTGTCGTTGGTGCTACAGGGCTGTGTTACATTAGGATTCACAATGATAACGCCTGCGTTTGACCTGAGCCAAGATCCCGAGTACCTGATGCTCAACATCCGTGTGCCCTACACCAGAACATCAGAGTTTGACATCTACATTGATGGAACAGATTTCAAGTTCTATGCCAAACCCTACTTTCTCAGGTGAGACTCCAATACACACAAACTGATGCAACTGTATGTACACTCTGTTGAAACCTTGCTTGGATTAGAGAGGGTGCAATGTAAGCAGTTAAGTCATGGGCTTATCAAGTAGCACCATCTACCTCAGGCTTGAATTTCTAGTCATTTATTTTCCCAACATGGTATTAATCTCAATATGAATTGAAAAAGTTGTCTTTGCTATTAGTGACTGTAACAATCGGAGTCTATGTATGTTATTTTCAGATTATCTCTTCCTGGAAGAATAGTGGAGGATGGGAGAGAAAAGGCCAAATTTGACATTGATAAAGGTAGGTCACATTATTATATGACGATAAAGCATACAATGGTTGTAAAATAGTGTGACTTGTCATGTCAGCTGTGTGGTGATGTTGACAAAAACAAAATGCCTGCTGAGGTATTTCAGTAAAGGCATGGACAGCTGTTGCATTAAACTGAGCCCAATTTATGTGGCTTCTCATTAGCAATACACCTTTAGCACACTCAGCACCTGGAGGAAAGAGCAGTACCTCATACACATTTCCTGAACTCAAACTACCTTTTCCTTCTTGGATTGCATAGGATTCAGTTAGTTGCTCGGTTTGCTGTAAAGTAACTGCTGTTGTCTAAAAGTCTTTGTTGTGATTGGATGTCTGTCACCCTCTGCAGCATAAAATATCAGCACTCTGTCAGCACTAAGCCAAAAGTGAGACATAATAAGAAACCGTTCGAAGCTCTATTGGAGGATGTGATATCTTCCATGAATTCTATTTCTTCTGCGTGTGTGTCAGCACAATGACTGAGAAACTAGCAAAAGCATTTTTTCCAGTATCTGTTTCTAAGTTGGACCAACTGTTGTTGTTTTTTCCTCTCGTGTTTGTCAGAATGCGCTGACCTTTCTTTCAACAAGGGAAAAACTGTTTTCCAATATCTTATTTTTTGAAGTCGTACAAATGCTATCTCAACATATTGAGCTATTTTTCATTCACACACAAACACTAAACCACAGAATCATATCCAACCTTCCAGTAATCTGTATGCTGAACCGGGGCAGTGTAACTTTTATTAGATAGTTTCACAGTGAAGACACAGGAAGTCTTTGCTTCAACTTGACTGGGTTTCTTGTCTTTATTTTGTCGCCTTATGAACAGTTGAAGGTTCAGTAAACAATGTTTTACAGTTAACAGTGATATCGCATCAGAGGGAGGGAGAGTAAAGTTCTGGAGGGAGAGCTATTAGGCTCGTTCAAGATGAACTGCGCCTCGCCAGGAAAGAGGATGAGAGCAGGAGGCGGTGACACAAAGCTGCAGTCAATTTGAAAGTTTCAAAGAATGTACAGGAAGTCACAGAGCTATTTCCATCCTGTTAGATCCATCTGTAGGCTAGCTGTAGTTTGCAGACCACATTTGGTTGTACAAAGACACATTATTGTTATTATCATCAATCAGACAGCATATGTTTGTAAACCGTCATGGTGCAACATGAGCCTGTTAAGCCTTCCAGAACATGTTTGTGGTCAAAACTAAGAGCCAATCAGCTCTTGATCAGGAGAGAGCCAGGCGTTTCCTATCATGCCCCAGGTCTTAGAGTCGGTGTAGAGTAACCTCTTGCGCCTTGATCTTGTGAGGTTATTGTTGCCCACGCCGTGTGTGCATGGCATCAGAGCAAGTCAAGTCTGACACAAATCTAACCGGCACGTGTTGTGTGGCGATTGCCGGGAATTGATTCTGTGCAGGCTTTGCTTATCTCAAATAAGCCTATTGTGACAACAGCTCCTTAAATAAGGGTGAGGAGTCAGAGTTGTCAGGTGTGTGCAGGTGTGTGATCTGCGTGTGGCATGGTATTCTGGGTGCAGTTGGTAAAAAAAACTGTTAACCACAACTGTTATATTATCTCTGAGTCTGAACACAGTGTAGAATGAGTGTAGTTTGAGTGTGTCGCTTATAAAATGAAGCCATGCTTTGGATCAGTTCCTCTTTTCCGTAATGACTCCTTCTTCTTTCCAGCAGTGTACGTGAGTGAGTTTGACCTCATTGTTTTGCAATGTGCAAATGTAAGAAAAACATGCCGGCATTGTTAAAGGAATGGATAAACTTGGTGGCATACGATGGATCCGATGGATTGGATCATTTGGAAGCAGTTCTTGATTCCCAGCTTTGACAGTGGTATTTTGAGAACGACACATAAATACTCAACGCTAACACATTGTGCTTGCTTTCTTTGCATGATGTTGGGGACCGATCACAGTCTTACGAGGTACTGACTGAAACATGTTTCTACTAGCGGTCAGTGATTGATCCCTGGGGTGTCTTTAGTTTGTACTTCAGTCAATCAGGCAGGGTAAATTAATCTACTGATAATGTTATTTCATCCCGTTTAAAAGGCCACTGGAACCATCTGTAATGTCATAATGATTACAGCCTGCAGGCTGCCTGTAATATCCCTCTTCACAGTACACTGACAGTGACGGAGAGCTCATGTAGGATTTTCTTTTAAATATAATAAGCAAATCAAACATTCTAATGACTTCTGGGCTGACTTTCACTAGTATCTATACACTACTTGCTGTCACTGTAATCTGTCTTTCACTTTCTGTTGCACATAATCAGCTCTAATGAAGTTATCTTTATGGAGGCGTCTGCCTTATGGACTCTGACACCTTGTCTCCCGTCTGTCAGCATGGCCCCAGTTAACACGCTGTGTCCAAATAAGCCCGTAACATCTGCTAATAAAGCTCTGCTAATGAGTGTCCTTGTTTAGACTTATAATGAGCAATCATTAAGATCCAGGCTCTCCATACTGCAAGGACCGCAACTCAAGCAATTAGTCAGCTTCCCTCGTAAAGCACGTCTAAGCTTTAACAGTCGGTGCATTGAAGTTTTATAAGGTCTTCAGGCGAAGATCAGATTATATCTTTGATGTGGCCAAATCAGTGTAATTCATCATTCAGGTATTGTTTAGTTTTAATAGCATATGTAAAGAAACGACTTAGATTGCATGCAGGTTAATTGTTAAAAAAGAGATAAATACTTTCAAATTAAAATCTATGACTCTACAAAAAGTGATTAATCACAGTTTCTTTTGTCTTTAGGATTAAAATTAGTAGCCTTCAGTAACTGTGAGGCATCAATGTGAGATCTTTTACATATCACATGCCAGTTTATAAAGAGCATTTAGTAATTTATACTCTTTCTCAGTACAATAGTGTATATATAATAATTGATATTTAATTAATATGTTTCATGGAATTAAAATCTGAAATCTGTTGTGTCTATTTTCATTATCCGTGTATCTTCTAAACTAGATGCAAAACTTATCTTAAAATAATTAATGATTAAAGTATTCAGTTCACAATATTTGATAATGAGATAAAGCCAGCAAATCCTCTAATTCGTGACACTGTAATCACCATATACATTGTTCAATGACCTCTGATGTATGACAAATAATCAAAATGATAACTGTTGTTGATCTGTTGTCAGACTTTAATTAGTTAGTCCTTTCAGCACTACAGATATACAGTGTATTCAATAACAGGCGTCCGGATTGTGTGGAGTGATGCTTTTAAAAAGGAGACCTGTAATGGTTTAAATTGAAAACCCTTACTTACTTCCTGTCATATCTTGCAGGTCTCTTCACCCTCCGGGTCCCTAAAGAAACCACTGGAGAGCACTTTGAAGGGCTTCAGATGCTGACAAGCCTCCTCGCCCCAAAAGGCTCCCGTTCAGCACAACCACTGGTAGAGGACTTAAGCACAGGTAAGTCATTGTTCATGAACCGAAACTCAACCATTTCGACTGTGTAGATAGGAAAAATAACACAGGAGGGTGCTGCATTTCAGAAGGATGCGGGGAAAGTGAGGGAGATGATGAAGACGAAGATGAGGAAGAATTCGACTGGCAGGTTGAGCAGGAGGTGTACAAGGAGAGCTCTGAGGAGGAGCTGAAAGCCCTGCAGAAATATGGCTTCGGCAATCAGAGGTCTGGAGTGTTTGTGAGATTACAGGTGAGGTTACAGATAATGATTATTTCCTGCATTTGATCAGAAAAACCTGCTGAATAGATGCTTTCGAATCATGCAGTTAAGATGAAAAGGAGATTTCATATGTTGGGTCTTGTCCTGACAGGAGGAACTGAGTGATGTGGCCGATGTCAAGAACCCAGACGGAACAACGGCGGCAGAGAGGAGGCAGGCACGGCTGGAGGCAGAGGCATCTGCCTTTTCTGCTGACCATTACCTGTGAGTTTATCAGGCAAAACCTCTGACACTAAAACATGCTGTCAGCGGTGTGCTAACATCTGTGTGTCACTGCAGGGCTGATTTGTTTGAGGATGATGAGATAAAGGGGCTGCTGAATTTTAGGCCATGGTGGACGAAGCTGAGTCCCTCCACAGAGCAGGAGGAGGAAGCCGGTGAGTTCAATCAGCCCTTCATAATCTTTAAAGGTGGGAGCTATGGGCTTTTCTAATCTGAATTGTGCTCCTAGGATCAATCTAACAGTTAGCTTCTTAAAAAGAACAGTAACATGAATTTGCTTTTTTTTAATGAAACTCTTCTAGTGAACAGACAAATTCTATAATAAAAACACAAAACAAAATAAAGCTCAATGATTAAACAGGCCTTTATTTGTCTTTCTGTGGGATACATAGCACAATTAAAAGTAACCAGCAAAGTAGTGACTGAAGGCTACCAGGAGGTGGCATGAAGTTGCAAAAATTGAGAAGGCGATCATGCATTGTTTGTTAATGTTATTTGACTAAATTAAAATACCCTGGTCGATTGTTTTCTTCTATCCCCAGTAGTGCCATTCCAAAACTTCTACTCATAGTATTGTGAAGTGAAATAGTGTATATGCTTTCCAAACAGGAATCTGTTGGCTGGGACTTGTGCCTGCGAGGCACTGACATTGTTCTCTGACAATATATTAATCCCCAAAGGACACATGAGTCTTTTCACTGCCCCTTTCTAGTGGAAGGTCAGCTAGAGAGCCGCACTGCTGCCAGAGCGCCTCAGGGCTCTTCAGCAGGAAAGACACTTGCCATTATCAGAGATTGAACTTGGACCTTCCCTAATCACTACATCTCTCTGCTGCCTGTTGACCAATTTAAACCAGAACATCTGCTGAGTTAGAACGTGACAACTCAAAAAGGGACAGCATTTATACCTTCCTGTGTTTTCAAATTCAGGTTTTTTCTTTTTTGCAACCAGCTCCCATCCATTTCAAATCAGTGGCTCATTTACTTTGATTGAGACGCACTGCTTGTTGGCTGGAGCCTCCCAGCTTCATTTCTCGGCGCAGCCTCTTGTATAGCAGTGATAGCTTGTGAAGCCTCAGCACTGCGAGAGACTATTTAATTGTGCCATCCGGCTCTCTCTAACAGCCTGCTAATTCCAGCACTTCCACTGTTTAAGCAGCCGTGTGGCTCACAGCCACGGCTTACGTGTAGTGCATGGGTGTCGTACTCTTGAGAGAGGATTTAGATTAAACAGATAGCATTATCACAGGAGGGAGTGCCGCTGGCCGTGTCTCCGCCAGCGCGAGGGCCCGATCGCTGACGAGCAGCCATCAATCAGCAATGCAAAGGCCATTAGTTTAGCCTCCGAAGAACACCACGTTTCCTCGTATCCCCCGGCAGGCTCCCTCGCCTCATTCTGCATTCTAAGACAGAGTGCCTCAGTCGGGAGCCCAGGCGTAGATAAATGGGCCAAATTAAACTTAATGGCTTGATTGACAGGTCGAATAGCATTAGCTCCAGCTGAGTGTGAATGATGGCGTCGGTCAGGAGATTTAAGCAGCTCGCCGTCAAATCTTGAAAGCGCACTCATGATTTTAACAGTTTGTCGTATATTTTAAAATGGCGACCACAACTCCTACATGTGGGTTTTTAGACTTCTACCCCCCACACTTCACTTCAGCGAAGTCTGATAAATATGTCACCTGACAGATGGATGTGGACACAAGTGCTAATGAAGTAGAAACTGGCCCCTTTGTGCTCTCCAGTGTCAGGGCCAGCACGCTGACGGGCCACAGCTGTCCACTGGAGTCCAGCTAAATGGTCCTGACAGCCCAGCCTCTCTCTACCTGCTGCACTTTGTTATGGCTGGGTTGGAAATCTGACCAAGTTACATAGTACTACTGCACTACCCAAGTTTACAGTTTGAGCAGACTGTGTCATTAAATGTCCCTTTGATTTGTTACTTGACAAGATCACAGTGTGTGTGTGTGCGCAAAATTAACCACGTCTGCCATCCAAGGTCACATGTTGGCCTCTTAACGTTTGTGAAATTCTGGAAGCATTTTCCAACCCTCAGCAGTATTTCAACAAAGCATATTTACTCCATGCCATCAGGCCATCTGGACCTGTAGAGAGCAGTGAAGAGCCAGGCTGCCGTTCCAACTGGAGGAATTAGGTCAGAAATTAATTTGCAATCAGCAGAAGCCCTCATACACTGTGTTGCTAATGCCCATTAGAACTGATTGGCTCCGTAGAGGAGATGAATGAATGTGGTTTTTCGGTAAATCTATCAGGTGTGCTCCCCTCACCTCACCGCTTTGGCTGCAGTACTAATAGAAAATATATCAGCATCATTGAGCCACCTTGAAAGAGAGTCTGTGCTCCATTAACCATTTTTGTATTGTTGTGAATATCAGTTTTTAATTGCAAGATCTGAGTGTGTTCACAACAGACGGCACCTGGAATCTGCTGAAATCTCCAGTCATTTTTGTGTGAATGATGATTCACAAAAACACATTTAGAAACACTGCCTTATGTCAACATTAGAACGCTTGTGCTCATATTTTTTATTCCTCAAGTGCCTGTGCATCCTGGCATTTGTCGACAGGACGTGTGTGTGTTTGAGAGACACCGGGTGGACATTTGCTTGTCTGTTGCTTGTGACTCTGCAAGTCAGCATGATAGGCGTGCTTTTAGAAATATTTTCACCTCATCTCTCGACGCGTGAGTCCTTTGTTTTGAAGAAGAGTGGGTGCAGATGGGTGGGTGGACCCGCATGTGGGGCTCTGTGTGTCCGTCTGTGTGTGTTCTGCTCGGCTGTGCTCTCCCGCTGCAGCTGCACTGACGAGGGACTCAGGTAGCGTCTGCGGGGAGCTAAACCTGACGTAATGCAGCAGGAATCTCCCTTCCAGCAGAGCCAAGTTCCCACTGCAGCCAGGGAGATCATTCCGAAGCGCTGCGTGTGTGTATATAAATGTATCGAATTTGTGTATATGCTCCAGCCAATACACACCAGTGCTTCTGCACATCAGGGGCTCAGTGCAGGGACTCTCCTCTCCTCATGCAGAGAGAGGAATTGCTTTTAGCTGTTTTATAAGCTGCTGGGAGGATGAAAAAGAACTGTTGACTTACAGCATGTTCCTGCAGACATTCAGCACGCCTTTTCAATACTGAATGATGCAGATAGCTTAAATGGGATTGAAGTCTGTTTGTGCCGCCCCATTAGGCTTGCCACAGATCCCCATTAAGCAGATGCCTCTTTCAAAAGGCAACAGTTAGTGAATTTGCAGAGACCCCGATTTGAGATATTTTCTTATGATAAAACTTCAGATTTTCTGAATGCATAAATGGGATTGGCTTTACTAATTTAATTAGTTTTTTTTTTGCTTACGCTCCTCGCAGTTTTCCCTCCAGTTTGTTCACGCTTATTCTCAACAACATTATGCCACACAGTCCGACTGAAACTCATCCGCATCTGGAGAGTTAATCCAGTTATATTACCATAGTAATGGCATTTCAAGGTCGGACTATGACACTGTGACACTTGCGTTGTAGTGTTCATGAGATTTGGAGAAGGCGTCCGTTTCATTGCATTACTGTAATCTTCAGTTTGTCAACACACAGGCGCTCCCAGATAGACATGGTGAGAAATACCTGAATCTGTTTTTCCTGTTCCCACTAAAACATGAGGTTGGTGAGGTTTTAAATTGATCCAGTCTTTAAAAGTTCAATTTCGGGTGTGAAATCACTGGTTTAGTGTGGATGGAAGGCCAACAGTGAGGGAAAAATTTTTTTTTTCAGATTTAGTCAGCTTAGCATAAGTGGACACTAAACCTACTTTTTAAAGCTGTTTTTATCACAGCTGTGCCATAATGCAACAAAATGAAAATCGTGCTTTGTATTTCCAACCTGTGACTGAAGTGCATGCTAAAATGATGATGTTTTGGTGGTAAAAAATAATAAACTCTCTGTCCTTATGTCAAAAATTGAAAAAACACCTTTCTGTAAAACCCATGTCCCTGTGCAGCTGTATCATTCACCGACGACGAGAAGGAGCAGCTGAGAAAATTCACCAACCGCTCCTACCTGCTAGACAAGACGTCTCGTTACCAAGTGTGGCTCAGCCTTGTGGACATCCTGCTGGCTCATTCCTATGAAGTGCGCTCTACAGAGGGGGAGCACAATGTAAGAGTGTGTGTGTGTGTG